AATGAGACACACCATAGACCCTATTATAAAGGGACAAAGACTGGATTGGTATATTGTGGTCTGCACAAATGTGGACACCCCTTGGACTGTCAAACGAAAGGAATGGAACGACGGCTTAATTAATGTTTGAAGAATCAATGACTCGGTACAAGTGAAGACTTCAATGGCAACTTTTAACGTCAGATTTTTTTTTTTATAAGAACAATAATTAAATGTTAATATGTTAAAGATGTTAATAAAAATATTGAACTTGATACTTAAAAATGTAAATCACGAGTTGTCTTTTGGGACAACTAATGGTTACCGAACCACAACACGTAAATGCTTTAGACGTCAGATTGGATTATCAGTCCAAGGGCTTCTGTGAGCCAATGGAGGACAAGGGGGGGGCTGCCGCCACCCTCAACTTTTGAAAAATATTTAATATGGTATTTTAATTTTTATTTGTTAAAAATTTTATATTATAGTATGAATTTTAAGGATCATTTCAAATGCAAAGAGAATATTTATGATTTAAATAAAATTTTTCAAAAATAAGAATATGATTTTAAATAAAAGGAATTTTATGACAATTTAATTAATTAAGAATTGAGGTTTTTAAACATTTTCTTATCTATTAAGCTTTAAAAAGGAAAATTTTGATTCTTTATTTAATTAACTTTAAATTTATAGTCTTCTTTAGTTTTTTTTTTATTTTCTTTCTTAATATTTTGTATAATAATTTAAAATTTTGTTATGGCATTGGGGAACATTGTTACCTTACATGATTGAATTTATAATTATTTTTTTTGTTAAATCAATCAAAATTAGAGTTCACTTTCTAAAAGAAATATTCTAATGTTTTTTAATATTCTAGTATTTTTTATAATAATAGTGTTCATCAAAACCTTAAAAAAATTAAGAAGAAAATATCTCAAAATTACATTATTTCACTAAAATCAAAGCACTCTCATTTTCACTTTAAGAATATATTGTTTTTATTTTTTTTCTAAAACAAGTTTATTAAAATAATGTAATTTTGTGGTGTTTTCTCTTTTAATTTTTTAAAGATTTTGTT